TATCTGCTATAACCCTACCATGGAACGGCACATAAATGTTTGTAAACAAGAAATAACTATTTTAAATTGATTGGTACTAGCTTAAAAACAAAGCATTTATCTTTCCTTCGTTATCCTTCATTCAATATGTTGCTCGAAATAAATATTTCGACCACGCAACACCAATCACAACGACCTATTTCATTTTACAATCAGCCATGTTTAACCATCGCGTTATTTCTCTATTCAATAGATTTCGAGATAAAAAATTGCCCGATCATCAATACATTTATCGAACATTTTTGCAAATTGTAAAAGTGCGAAAAATAAAGTTATAAAATGGATGACAAATCATAAAAGACGACACACACACAAAACGAAAAATGAACCCTAGAAATTGAGGAATAAATCAAACAGTTCTGTGATTGGATAAATCACAGGGATTTGCATGTAAGTTTTCTACTATGCATGAATTTCGATAATATATTGGAAATTCACAATGCAGACAAATGTTTTTAGTTTTTTACTTATACATGTTAAATATTTTGACATTTTTTTTTATTTTTAACCGAGAAAGTTGTTTATACTTCAGGTCGTTGAGATGACAGTAGGCAGAACTTGAAACCGATCCGAAACCAATGCAAAAAGGTAGTTTTTATGCTCGATATCCTTATTTCTATTATTTTTATATGACTTTAAGCAGGTTTTGTAGTTCCAATTTTTAATTTGTGGCATTTTTCAGAAAATGGACCTATGAAGGATGTAGGATGAATCTGATTATGTTGTTAGAATAGTAGGAATCAACTTCAATGGTTCAATGGTGTCGTAATATTTGTATAAAACCATTTTTCTTTAGTATACAGAAGCTGTTCTTTAGAGAGGTGCTCTAATATTGATGTTATAATCCAAAGGATAAAGCTAGTAAAGGTACTATACTGGTTCCCCCTCATTCCCCATGTTAAATCCCATAAGAAATCGCTAAGGTCCATTCTACTAAAAACTGGAGTAGTTTGCGCATGCGCAGTTATAAAGTATAAGATAAGAAGGGATTAAGGTTGTTATAATAATGGATGTTAGGTGTAAGAGATTTTCAGCAATTAATAGGTTGGGAGTCTAGGATATGGGGATGTAAGGTAAGAAGGAGCAAAGGTTAAATCTCTTAATTATTAATAAATGCGTTTTGGATCTTAGATGTAAGAAGGATCAAAGGTTAAAACTATTTTTAAATCACTATTAAAAAGTCTACAGTTAGGATCTTGGACACCAATGCTTTTTAAATGGAAAACGTGTAGTTCACTCTGGACAGTAGAGTGCTGGTGTTGACATTTAAGTAAAGATTGGACAAATATTGCTAATAATTTAAATGGTGGAAAGTTATTTGTAATAGGGAAAATAAAATATATTTTGTTTCAAAATTATATTTTTAAAGTAACAGTATTAAGTATTTACAGTAACTCAATAAGTTTCAAAATTGTCTCTCTTTGAAGCTCAGCTTTTCTATTTAAGCCCATTTTCAGTAAACTTGTAATTAGTTTCTTTTTCTTAATTTGTTTTTCTTTGTAAAATTGTCTTCGTTTCTCGTTAGCTTCTTCCCTTCGCCTTATTTCTTCGGCACCTCTATCACGTCTATATGTGGCTTTATCATGAAGTTCTTCTTTAACACCTTCAGATGCTAATTCTGAAATTTCTGTGCGTACTAAGCAACACTGTTTTCCTCGGGAATGTAACCAATCTTGTTTGAATACTCTTCTATCATAATGAGAATGAGGTGTACCTCTAAGACCATTTCCATCCCTTCTAAGCGGCTTTTGTCCATCAGCACAGGTGATGTATCTGAGGACACCAACAGCATGGTTCAAGCAAATTATTTTCTTGAAAGTTGTTTTTGAATGGAGTCGTGTACCAGTTTACTGTAGTTTTTTCTTGTAGGCTAACATTCTAAATTCATTAGTAAAATGTATTAAAGCATGAAGATGTGCATGTGCTGTACTACCATCATATGCTATTAGATGACATCGACCAATAGAATATCATTTAATATTTGGAGCACAAGCAAGTAAATTTCATTTAATTCTTTGGACAATTCTTCGTAATCTTGTGCCATTTCCTGTGGCGACAAAGCGTTAATTTCATTTAGATTCAAGAAAGTCAAATAGCAGTTTTTGACAATAAAGACATTTTTTTGTTATTTATAGAGAAGCTACTGGTAGAGAATGTCTCAGTAGACTGGAATAGTCTTTAATGTCTGAATACCTTAAACAAATAATTCATTGGTTAGTAAATTACATTTGACGAGGTTATATAAAGAGTTTTCAAAAGCTTCCTTTATAGTGTTGTATAAAACACAATAGATCTTCTTTTTTTCTTTGAAAAATATGGCATATCTTTTTTTAGGATCCAGTAAATCTTTGAAAAATTTGAAAATGTCATCTTTGAGCTTATCTTTCCCAAACTGGGTATGAGATCTTTTCTTGTTGACAAATATCTCTTCTGTAACATGTGAAGCTGAGTTTTAATTAACTCCTTGGAAGACTATAATACTTGCTCGCTTATGAGCACTTTAAGTATATGGTCTTCTGTATCAGTATGCTTATGGCACTATTTTCATCCTGTTGTTTATGTAATGTATCTTATGGTTCCTGGAGTAGTTCGTTGACGACATCCAGTTCTTCTACGTTTAATTCTCTTAATGGATCATTGATAATATCATCTAGTCGATCCAGAATAGTTATAAAGAGATAGTTCATCAAAATCTTTTGATGTGACTTCTTGAAGACTTTCTTCGAAGTTATGTGTCTCCTATTCTGTATAAGGGTCTGCGTTTTTGTTGAATTTGCTCTTTTCATAAATTATTTCACCATCTTACAAGCTTTTAAGGAGAAGAACCATTGGAGAACGCGGTGATCTAATAACAGGTAAGGGTTGAAGTATTTCGTAGCCCATGTGATAGCCAACATTTGCTTTTCAATGGTTGAGTATTTAATTTATGTCTCGTTCAATGTCTTGGAGGTATAGACAATGAGTATGTCATTATCCACGGGACCTTGTGATAATACAGCACTGATTGCGTTGTCAAATTGAATGGTATGAAGAAGTCTGGATATTGCAGAGGTTCATTAAAAAAAAGGTAAAAAAAGGTTAAAAGAAGGTTAAAAGAAGGTTAAAAGAAGGTTAAAAGAAGGTTAAAAGAAGATTAAAAGAAGGTTAAAAGAAGATTAAAAGAAGGTTAAAAGAAGGTTAAAAGAAGGTTAAAAGAAGGTTGAAAGAAGTTTAAAAGAAGGTTAAAAGAAGGTTAACAGAAGGTTAAAAGAAGGTTGAAAGAAGTTTAAAAGAAGGTTAAAAGAAGGTTAAAAGAAGGTTAAAGGAAGGTTAAAAGAAGTGTTTACACATTCCAAAAACTCTGGTGAATGCTGGATCTTAGCTTTTTTTTTGTTTGAAGCATGAGGTCAGTGGTTTGGTGATTTTGACAAAGTCCGTTATACATTTTCTGTAGTATTTCATCAATCCTAAAAGGCTTCTAATATATTTTGCTATCTTTGGTATGGGGTAGTTCATTATAGCTTTGATTTTGTTTGAATTGGGTTTTATTCTGTCTATAGTAATGCCATGTCCTTAGAAGCCAACTTCTTTCTTCATGAAGTCATATTTATCTACTCGTAGTCGGATTATTCTTGAAAGGTTTACCATGTGTTCATGCAGTGAGGTGGAGAAGATTACTCTATGAATTCCAAGCATATTTTTTGTTGAAAACCTTTAAGAATATTATTCATAACATGGTGGAAGATTGCAGTAGCATTCTTAAGTCTTAATAGCATTCGAACGTATTTAAAATGGCCGTTATCGACTTTGAATGCTATTTTCTGCATATCTTTCTTCTCCATTTTAGTATGGAGAAATCTGTTTGCTAGATCAAGAGTCAAGAAATCCAAATTTGTCTAGGATATCTGTTATATTCTGGATCGGATATTTATCGTCAATAGTTTTTTCATTAATCTTCCTATAATCGACAACGATATGCCACTTTATCTTTCCTGAGGCATCGGGTTGTTTGGCAATAACCCAGATTGGCAAATACCATGGAGATTGGCTAGTCCTGATGATTCCTTGGTCCAGATGATATCTGCTTCTTTACTTCCTGCTTGTGGATAAGCGGATATCTATACGATTTCGTATAGATAGGAGCCTCATTTGTAATTCGAATATGATATTTAATTTGATTTGTAAATGTAAGTGGAGGATCAGGATTATAAAAAATATTTAAGAATCTTCTACATAGTTTCTTAATATGATTTTCTTCCTCCAGGTTGAGATGATCTGTTCTAATAAGGGGATCAATGTTTATTTTCTGTTATACTTATGGGGATATCAGATGTGTATAAATGATACTCTTGCGGGTTGAATTCCATACTTTACAATACTTTAATTAGGAATATTTGGTTTGCACTGTGAACGGTAATTTGAGCCACTTATTTTTAATCAGATCTAACCTTAATTTCATTTATTTTATAGTTAAAAGTGAACAGAGATATCTGTTTTTATATCTATAGACTTTTTATTTACTATTTTAAATACTATATTATCAAAAAATATACTCTATGCTTGTAATAATTATATCGTCATATTTTTGTACGTATAGGTCTATTTCATTTTATCCAATAGAGTTATTAACTTCAATTCTTCCACGTTTTTTGTCTGCTTAAACCAACATATTCTTTTTTGTTTATTTTTTGGCCGAGACCCACATCCTGATGCGAAAAAAATGTCGGGAATTGAGACCCGTTTTGATCCGCTTGTTGCTTCAAATCGAATTAACGGCATTTCCTCGACGTCTGATACCACCTACCCTCATACCAAAATCTCTCCAAAACTCATCACCCAATCCATCCCAGCACCTGTCCGTCCGTATATTGAATTGTGCAGAGAACATGATGTGATGTTATAGATTAGATTTGTGTGAATGCCGCGCATGCCGATTGGCGGGCCGGCGTGCGGACGGCGCTTTGAGCTTTTCCGCTGCGTGTGTCTGTTTCGGCAACGTTTCTGCCGCTAGTGGGCTTTCAAGCTTCATGCTTTTCGGCCAAACTTTCGCTGCTCAGCTGCTTGCCGCGTTTTTTGTACCAGCGAGCTTTAGACGTCGCGGTTTTTTTGGTCGTTCGGTGTTCGCGCTCTTATTTGGCATTGTTGGAGTTGGTAACGGTGGTCGGATTGGTGACGATTATGATGTTTTGGTGTACAAAAAGGTGGATTAAAAAATATATATATATATTTCTTAATTTTGGAAAATGTTATTGAAATTTTTTCAGATTTGTTACATTTTCTTTAATTTTCTGAAAATATAAATCATAATTGACATAATTTTCTTGCTAATTTGCTAATCTAAACTGTATCCTTTTATTGTTTACAAGAAAATTTGATAAATACATTTCATATGAAACATAGCTTCAAATTTAAATTGGGAAATATTAGGAAAATGTTATTTAACACATATTTGTACTAAACCATCCAAATGTTTATACTTAATCTTATTTTTTTGATAAAATTAATAAACTGCCTTTTATTAAAAGTTTAGCTGCCAAAGCACGTACAAACCAAATCGTAAAAAATGCAATATAGCCAAAAAATAATGATTATGAGGTGAAGAAAATAGGGCTTAAAGTCATGGATGTCGTAATTGAAGACACAAGTGAATAAAGGGTATATTTACATTATTTTTAAATCTATTTTTTGCATAAATGAAGATCCTATATACCTACCTAAAAGGATTTTCTGAATAAGTGTCTAAAATGTTTTTTAAATATAATATATAACGTTATTTTCGAATTTTAAGTCCAAAATTAATCAAATAAATCAACCAAACGTTATCTATAAAATTGACTGCAAAGACTGTAATTCCACTTACATAGGACAAACAAAACAATATCTATATAAAAGAATAAAAAACCATAAAAATAATATCGCAATTAATAATGAAAATTCCACTGCCCTAACTAAACATGCGTTAGAAAATTTGCACTTTTTCGATTTTGAAAATGTAAGAATTCTCGAAAATGAACCTATTCTCAATAAAAGAACAATCCTTAAGATGATATACATTGAAAAACATAACAACTCTGTAAATAATAAAACAGACATAATAACGTTTATTTTAATATTATTAAATAATTAATATTTCTAATCCTTAACTGTAACACTATTTTATTTACGTATTTTACTGAGCTTGTCTAGAATATTCTTTATATATTTAATATATATAAACAAATACTGTCAAAACATCTATAAATAAAGTACACAAATTTAATTAAATGTAATGCAAATAAATTCTGGACTGATGCTAAATCATTAAATAAAATGACGTTTTATAAATGATTGCATTGTGATTTCAATTTTATCTGTATTGTATCAGTTATTTATCTAAAATTATTTTTAATATACAGGGTATAAGAATATAATCGTAACTGTTAATAGTATGTTACTTGCAAATAAAAACTTTATATAGATAAAACATAAATAATTTGTTTTTTACTAATCATTTAACGATATTATCAGATTTTTTGTATTTTACATATTTTAAATGACAAACTATTAACTTCAGTGCTTTATGACTAAAAATATATTTTGTATATTTTCCTGCCAAAAAAACAATCATATCTTTGACAACTACTTGACATATATTTAGTTTAATTTTGATTGTATAGTACTAACAGAAACTTGGCAACTAGCAGATCCTAATATTATACAACCTACTAGGTTATAATTTAATTTATAATCAAGGACAATATAATCAAAATGATGGTACAGAAATATATGTAAAAAATAATCTTTCCTTTACACATAATATCATAATAATAGGAGATATAAACTTTTTAAAAATGATAATTGGACAAAAAATTATACAGCTTTCTATCGATCGCCTGCTTCCAATGTGAATGATTTTTGCAGATATTACAAAATTATTTAGAAGAAAATCAAACAAATACTCATAAAAACAATATTTTTATTGGCGATATAAATATAAATCTACTAAACAATAACGATCACAAATTAAAGTATTTAAATATATTACATAATTACGGGTACGTGTCAATAATAAATGAAGCTGCCAAACAAAAAACATATCACTGAATAGTCATCAAAAAGCTATTCTCCCTACCTCAAATGCTTTCTCCCTATCTCTCAATTGCCAATTGCTTCTTCTTCTAAAAGAAAGAAAAAAGTCAGCCGAAACTTAACTTCCCACTCTCATCTTGTGTCGTATTTCTCATGCAGAACATAAAATGCTGTTGTCGGGCTCCCTTACAGCGCTACCGGGCCCCCATTTAAGCCCGGGCGCCGGGAATTAGTTCCGGCTACCCCCCCTCTAGTCGGCCCTGGTTGTCAGTAAGACAATACGGCTTTAAAGAAAAAAAAAACTCAACTGTAGTACTAAAAAAATCCATGGATCTATCGAAAATAGCAGACCATGCTTATGTCTATTTATTGACTTAAGCAAAGCTTTCGACACTGTCGGTGAATTGTACTAGAATGGCAGCACTGGTTTGGCAACCTTGTTTGTGAGCGGCGCGCCAATTAATGTGTTATTTGACAGTTTGAATCTGTTGGCGTGTTTTCTTCTATTTTTAGCTATATGCATTCACCATATCGTCTCACTCGTGTTAGGCTCACTCAGCATAATGCTATACTTAGGTATACTGTGACACAGAGACGCTATCAGCCAGAGGACAATGATGTACAAAAAAATATAGATTATATGAAAATAAAAATATTAAAATTAAATTTATATTTTTATGTTATTTATGTAATATTAAAATAATGTGTTTTTATGAAATTTAACTGGGTGTTCACTGCACAAATGAACCAATGGAGAAACTGCCCCTGGATATGCGGATGACACTGCAATTTTCTATGAAGCAAATACATGGCCAAAGAAGAAAGTGGAAGATGATGTCAAAATAATAAAAGATTGGTTCGACTGTAAACTTTTAACTATGAATCTGGACAAAACTAAATTTTTACCTTTTAGTTGTAATGTGTCTGGTTTGAGTGATCTGAATCACATCAATATAGAAATCCAAGGCATGACTTACGTTATTCAATCAGCAAAAGAAATCAAATATTTAGGAATACACCTCGATAGGCATCTAAGATGGGATTATCACACACATTATATCACCAAAAAAACTACAAAAAATAATATACAAATTTAAACATATAAAAATATTTGAAAAACCTATATTTTGCACTAGTAGAAAGCTATCTCAAATACGTAATTACAGTATGGGGGGACACCCTCACGTGTATACATAAATCAACTTGAGGTACTTCAAAAACGGTTTCTAAAAATAATTATGTCAAAGCCCTCAAGATACCCCTCTAATCATTTATACAATGAATCAGATATTATGGATAGTCGACAACTATTTTATTATAATACTTCTATAAGATATCATTTTAGTGATGATAAACGTATAATGTTTGTACCTCTTATATAGCTCGCTTTAACCTTCTAGAACCTTCCCGAAACGTCCACAGATGTTTCTTGACGTGGAATGACATTTCTAGACATTTCTCGAATATTCATTTTTATTCTAGTACACTGTAGGGTGATGGGTAACAATATCATAGGAAATTTACTGGTACTTGATATAAAGTTTAAACATCTTTGCAAATATATAACACTTTCATCTGCTGTCATGATCAGTAGCGTAGCTTGGAACCCACAATATTACTGTACTATACATATAGAGTTTGCAAAAAGTAATAACAAGTCCTATAAACCATTATTTTATAAAAAAAAATGCTGGCTAAATGTATGTACAAGAAGAATACTTTCGTTTTTTTTTTTCTTCAAGTTTTTATGTTGTGTTACACTAGTAAAAAAATTAAGGGATCAAAAAAATTCTCGATTTTTTGCGATTTTTCGAGTGGCTGTATCTTTGGTAAAAATGGTCGTACGTGAATGAGAAAAAAAGCAATTTGAAGCTTAAAGTGTCTAGTTTATGGATCTTGCAATAATTTTTTTTTGTTTATTCACGTACGACCATTTTTACCAAAGATACAGCCACTCGAAAAATCGCAAAAAAATCGAGATTTTTTTGATCCCTTATTTTTTTCCACTAGTGTATTTTTTCCATTTCTTACTGGCTTATCTTTGTTGTTCTGTTACTTTCTTCGTTTTATAACAATCATGCTTTTATTTCTTACCAAACTATCAAAATATTTGCTATGATATTTGTTTATTGGGATATTAATAATACTCATTTTAATATTCTTATTTTTTTGGAGGTTATGAATTATGATATTTTTTAATTTATAATATTTTAAATACATCTAGTCATAACAATTTGTTTATGATTCTCTGATAAAAATCAAAAATCTACGCAGGTATAGTTGTTTTTTAATTTATTAAGTGTTTTTTATCAAACATTTTAAGTGCTTTACGTAAACTTATAAAAAGAAAAAATAACATCGATAACGAAAAATGAATTATTTGAAAAATGTTGTTTAAATTTATTATAACCAGGTGTTTTTAAAAACACTTTAGTTTTTATTTGTGGAAAAAATATAACAATAATAGAAAAATGATAACAATTTTAAAACATCTGTTTAGTTTTGAAGATATCTATCTATCTATTATATCTATTTATTTAAATCTATTTAAATCTAATTATTATATTTTCTTGATCTAAATTAGGAAATATCAAATTTTTGAAAGCAAATTAACTAAAAAAAAAAGAAAAAAGAAAATTTTTTTTGACATATTTTGTATATCACTCTGTACGACAAAAGGATTGAAAACTGAAAAATTAATAACTTTAGAGAAAAAGTACTACCAACTTTATTCGACATTAGTACAATTTAAGAACAAACGGTACATCTTAAAAAATTTTAATTCTTTTTCAAAATGTCAATAATAAAAAAAAAATTTATAAACCTTCAAAAGGTATTAATTTTGAAGAAAAACCATTTGCACACATATCTGCATTAAATCCATGAAAATTTGATGCATTTTGTTTTAATAAATATTTAATAATTTTTAAATAGAAGGATTTCTCACCTTTTTTCTTAAACGGCACAGTAGAGTGCTGCATTATCATTGCATAAATTTACAGTCCTTAATATTTTCAAGACACATAATATCACGAAGTATTTCCAGTGGCGCGGATTTAAATAAAATTTTATATTAAAAAATCCTTAAAAACTGTTTTGCTTCCGCGAAACGTCTGGTAAAATCTACAAGTTA